TTCCTAGTGGCGATGCCAGGAGCCCTTAGTAGCTTCTTGTTCCTAGTAGCGATGCCCTTTGCTCCGTTCGTAGCGACCCTTGCTCCGTTCGTAGAACGGCCAGGAGCCTGTTCGTAGCGTCCATGGGTCGCCTTCCCAAAGATGCTCCGAAACTTGGCGTCCAAGACCAAGCCCAGCGCGCGCAAGGCGTTCCTTGGATGGAAGGCACTTGGCGCCCTCGGGTGGTTTGGTGTGTGTTTCTTTGTTTTCTCCGCTCCCAAGGCTTTTTGGACGATTGTTGTCATGTTGAAGGAGGCGTTTCTGGTTTTGGGACTGGATGAGAGGGATGGTACTTGGAAGGAGAACCAAGAGAGGGTGCACTGAAGGGATTGAAGGGAACCGAAGGGAACCTTGAGCCGCATGTCGGGTGTGGTGTGCAGGGACCCAGATGTCCCACAAATGCACTGGGCTAACAAGCTGGAGGTCTCCCTATTGAAAACACACACCCACATAGACTAGAGGTCCCCATGAGCTCCTCAAATGACATGAGCGGAGTAGCTGACCCCCAACTCTTCCACTGTCACTTGGGCATTGAAGTCTTTCTACCCGCAGAGGTCACACTGGAGGAAGGTCCCACTGCCGACCAGTGTGTTATTCAGGGTGCGTGTCCTGCTGCCAGGCATTGATCAGGGGGCGTGACAGAAGGACCAGCGACAACCACCTAAGGACCAGCGACCGTCACGACCGTCTCGACCAGGATGACAAACATCTATAATAACACTTTTGGAACTAAGCGGGTACCCCGGGGTAGCGATTTTATTCTGTAGAGGAAATTCCATCCCCTATCAAAAATAACACTTGAAGAGAATGCAGCATGCAGCTAGAATCTTCAAGCAGCATCCCAACTCCGGCTCTTTGGGAGTCTGCCACGTGTCAGCTACCCCCCCATTGCCTGCTCTCCATGCAAGTGACCTTGAAGAGCAACCTCTTTCATTAAGCCCTTACAGCTACGCTGAACACTCCTGATCATCTAATGTGCCCTAAGTCCTGGATGGCGGGCCAAGAGGGTCTTGTAAGAGTCGGTACTTTGTGCTGTCGCTGACCGCAAGTCAACCGGTTCCAATCCTCAAGCATCAGCCGACCGCAACAAGCTTGCGCCTTTTTTCCTCTACATCTTGAGCTGCCAGGAAGGCGCATCCAAGATTGGACTATAAACGAATACAGTTGTGGAAGCAGGGGGCTCTCGCAACCAGCAAAGATACAGTGTGATGCACGCAAGATCTATAAGAACTTTAGAAAAACGGTTTCTTGAAGAAGGCTCCACTCGTCACAACATCAAGAAAACAACAGCTCTCTTGGTAGAGCTCCCCCAGCTTCGTACCGGGATTTGTTGCGCTATAGCAAAGAATCGGGAGTCTCTGACTTTCAAACGTCAAAGAGTTTGTCCAACATGCTGCTGGCCTCCTCAGTGCTCAAGACCCCAGCCTTGGATGCGCCACGCAGGGCCTCGATGCGCGACAAGATCTTGCTGGCCGCTGGAGACATCTTGGCACCTTGACCTCAGCAGACATGATGAACTATTTATCTCGGTACAGTGGTTTCAGACTAGATGGCACAAACCCCAAGATGTCTTTTAGATGGGGATCCATATAAACCACCGACATTGGTGATTGTGCCATAGGTCCTCTCAATCCACTGTACATGTCTCGTATCGGTCTCGATCTTGGCACCTTGACCTCAGCAGAAATGGCCTGACCTGACCTTGGCACAACGTCTCTTGGTCAACCACCAGCGACAGCCCAGACTCTGCCAAGTGACCATCCAGGATGGCCAAGGCTTTCTGGCCCATGAGGTTTCCCAAGTAGGTGGCCTGCGACGGTGCGGTGTGCAGTACTCTATCGCCCGCAAACGGTCGTGCTGTCTCACGCACATAGCTTTCAGCCGCCCAACGCGCCCTCCAGGCGGAGGAGTCACATGGAGTTGGGTGGTTGTTGGTAAACAAGTGAGCGCCCTAGGCTTCCAACAACCATTAATTTAATAGGCTTTACCAAATCAACTAAGGATTTTACACTACAAACTAAATGGTCTTGGAAGTCTAGGGAGTGGATGTGACGTTCGGGGCAGCCCTTTCCTTCCTTCCTTCCTTCCTCCGTTCGGGTGCCCGGCACCCCTATCCCCTATCGCTCGCTCTGTGACTGCTCTTCTTGCTCTTCTTTGTGTCGCGATATCAGTGGTTTTTGCCCAACGACCCGGGTCCCAATGGTATTCGTCAATCCTCCAAACGACCCGGTGCGGCCGAAAAGACATCTCTGCGCCGCTGAAAAAGATCCCCAGGACCTTCCCAGTGACCTCATCAGGATTGATAAGTGACCTTTTCAAGGCCTAAGTGACCTCATGCTGGGATCTCAAAAGGTCACTGGGAAGGTCCTGGCCATGACTTTTCAGTCCTCTTTCATCGGAGACATCTCTGCGGGCGTACATCGGCTTTTCATCATCGAGGACATTCAGCGGAAGCCATCGGGTCATTGCTTCACACTCGGATGCGCAAAGGAGCTACCTTTTCGACACAAGTCTCTTTCAGCCCTATTCTCAATACCTGGAACCCCAAACAACCAGAAAGAAATGGATGTTTCCCCAAACAACCATTTCCTATGTAAAGGAATTCAATTGCCATCTGAGAAAAAAGAGATGAACCATTTGATGCTCAAGCTCTTCAGCCCACCTCAGTGGTGACAAACACACATGACGGGACTCCCGAACGGGACCAATCCCGATGACTCCGGCCCGCTCGACTTCTCATCGTCGTCGTCGCTGGCCTCCACGAAGTCCTTCACGGGGATGTCGAAGACGCTGGCGTTGGGCTTGTCCTCCACCCGGCGGTGGTCATGGTCGCCCGTTCAGGACGAAGACGAGAGAAAATCAGTGCGGGCAGTGGGTTGGAAGCAGCCGGGATGGAAGGGAACATGAAAGGAGCTTCTTCGATCAACCACGCCAAGAAGATGAAAGGGTCGGTACAGAACATCTGTCTGTCACCATGGGATGATTCAGATTCTGTGATTAGGAAACAGTTGTGGTTTTACACCATGGTGACAACCAAAGGAATCTTTCTTGGTTCTGTTCTTTACCCAGGCACTCCATGTATGCCATATATGCCTACATTGACCCCCAAAACCACCCCAATGTAGGCATATATGACAGACATGGAGTGTCTGGGTTATGATTCCTTTCTTCAACGAAGAATCACCTGTGACCGAAAGCCCGCTTTCCGACGGACCCTCCCAGGGTTCGGACGGACCTTGGGACTCCTTCACCGGCCCGGGCACCGAAAGCAGCGAGCGACATGTCTCTCTTCTCTCTCGTTTGACCCGTCCATCCGAAACTGGAAGAAGAACAACACAAAATGAAGAAATAACACCTTCCTGGACCAATTTTGGAATATATCATCCCTTTCAAGTCCTGATTGCAGTAGGCAGGCAAGCACTTGGAGATTCCCACGCAAGAGCAGTTGAACTCGCCAACCTGAATTCGCCCCGCGCCCCACCGAAGCTACTAGGGGTTCCTGGCATCGCTACTAGGAGCAAGGACGCTACTAGGGGCTCCTGGCCTTACTACATTTACAGGAACAAGTAACAAGAAGCTACTAGGAGCTCCTGGCATTGACTCGCCTGCCGTAACTCGCGGTTTCCCACGTTCGCCCACGCCGCAGTTCGCACGCGCGCTCGTTTTTCTGCGCGCCGAGGGACGATCCATTTGTCGATGGTGCAGGGAGTGCCCGGCTTTCCGGGATCGGAGTTGATGAAGTCCGCGGTCCACCACAGGGGCAAAGGCTCGCCGGGCAACTCCAAGCTCTCCATGAGAGTTGGGATGGAGGTCTTCAAGAAGTCCTGGAGACACTCCACTCGAAGGCGCACGCCGACGCGAAGCAAGATGGGCGTGCGCGGTGGGATGGATTTCAGGAACCCCCAAGAGATCACTCCATGTGATTCTTGCTTTTTGGGAAGTGCTTGGACCTCATGAGTCATCAGTCATCCCCATCTGTTGCCGATCAGGGACTGGGTGATGAGGGGTTCCGGGACTGGGTGAAGGGTGATTCATGTCTTCCACACCGGTGGATCCGCTGAGAGGCTTCCAATTTCACCACTTGAGCGGAACGTTTTGGTCCGAAACCTCCACTCTGACTTGAGAGAGGAGGGGGTGAACGAAAGGTAGCAGGCAATCACAAGTAACCCTGGTAGAAGTCCATGACGGCGTGAACCGGCGCAGGGGGTAAAGATCATATGCCTTAAATGGACTCCAGGTCAACCGGAGACAGGAGTAGTCAGGTGGTTGACCAGGTGGCAGGTGGTCTCTGGTGGGTGATTTATGGAGACTTTTACTGGGTGTATATGTTTGAGTCCCTCGAAGTGTCTGGGAGTTGCTTCATGATTCCAGTCTATCAGCTCTTCTGGTCTTTCTCGGTTCACTTTTGAGAGGACGAAATCCAGTGTCTGGCACCCTCGAGCCAAATGCGATGGATCGGTGAGCATACTGGAACATACTCCGGGTTGGGGCAGCTTGCACGCTCACAATTTCATGTGTCATAATTACCGGAATAGGCCGAATTGGTCATTGAATCATTGATGATAACGACATCCCCACGCTTTAAAAAACCATCCAACCAACCTCAAGAAGGGGACTGCCCTCCACTTTTCTTTTGGGAACTGGGCGACGGACGTTGCCCTGCACCTGTCTGTGACCTCACGTCGCCGCCAGCGTCTCGAGACCCTTCTCCCGACTTCTCCGGGGGGCACGGTCTCCCGACGCAGTCCGGACGTCCTCGGAGACCTGCTTGAACTCAGGCGCGTCGGGGGCGTAGAAGGTGTAGATGGATCCGGTGCCGCCCACCGCCGAGATGCCGCCGGCCTGGGCGTGTCGCCGTCAGTCGGTCCCGGTCCCGCAAGGAACCACCGGGGGTTGCTTGGAGAAACGGGCGCCGACCCTCCTGCGATCGCACGAAATCCTGCAGGATCAGGTGCTGCAGAAGGGCGAAGGTTTTTTCCCAATTCAAGTCAACATCAGTGAACCCTTCTTCCAGTCTCCGACAGGCGTGCGCTTTTGGGGTCTTGAAGGGTTCGCCGTGCTGGACTCCAGGAAAGAGGAAGATCGAGGACTCAGAAAGGAGAGAAGAGCATAGAAGAGCATTTGTTTCCGAACCCCTTGTCTCTGTGCCCTGT